CAGCACATACGTCTAGAAATGTATATTTAAAAGTTGAAATGACCTTAAACTCACATTTTCTACATATTTTGTGTCGTAACTTTATCTTTCATAGTTTTATATGTTTTTATTGATCTACAATTCCACATGTGTTAATTTTAAAATGTAAATAGATAAATGTAATGCCTGTGTATAGCTTCATTAGATTGTAAAGTACACACATAGTTGTTACAACAATATTTGAGAATTTGTTTGAAAAACAAATTTCTACATCAAACTAATAACTATGATAACGTGCAATTAGAATATAACACATTAACTAAATGTGAGATAAGCAGAGGTTTAGGCCTGGCATGGCCAGGTGGTTAGGGCGCTCGACTCGTAATCAGAGGGTCGCGGGTTCGAATCCCCGTCACACTAAACATGCCAACCTCCGCCTTTGCCTGGTCCCAAGTGATACAAATTGCTTATCAGAATTGAAATTTGTACAAATTACTATATTATACATTCTGAAGGTTTAAAATCGTTTCTCGAGCGGATTGTAGATACAAGGTAAACAAATCTATAGTCAGTGTTAACCTTGTTAAGATCCTTTATATACAGATAATATCGTGGCATGTCTAGTTTCCACTTCGTTGTAGCCCCAGTGTTCAGAACAAATTCGATAAAACACTTGTTTTTTGAAGTCTCGTAGGGTAGTCGGTATAACGAAGACGCCAATTTTACAGCAAATGAAAGAAGATTAATTAAACTATGACAGATGTTTCTAACAATATAAGTTAAGATACTTGAACGTCCTCATGGTTTATACGAGAAACAAAATACTGAAACTCGAATTTTGTTATAATTTTGTCCGATTTAAAAATAATAAATGTTATGGTATCTGATGAGATATACCCCAGGAATGCTGTTAATTACTTCTGCTATTTAAATTTACTGTCCAACAACTTTGTTTATCAAACATAAATGACTACATAATGACCTTAAACTTATAATTACTTTATCTATTTTTATAAGTTCTTAACCTGGTTAGTACTATCTAACAAAACAACATTAATAATCAGACAACACGTGTTTTCCCTAAGGTAATGATTGAGAACATGTAAAGCCGATTATAAAAAGACACGATGAACAAATAGACGACCTAGCAAAAAGAATAATAGGCCTAAGCTATAATTCACTGTATTGTTGCTCAATCCATATAGCGATTATGTGATAGCTGAAAGCCACCGGAAAATGCCTTGCGGCCATATTAGAGATCTCAACATACTCCCGAGTGTGACATGATCAGACTATACAGAAAAACATGAAAAGGGATTTAAAATAATAAAACACTTTCGTGTGCTGCCTCAACTGTAGAAATCGAGTAGAGATCACATTTCAGAAGTCGGTTGAACTAGTTAGATACAGAATCAAAATCTCTATAACAGTATAAGTATAACCCGCTCTATGCTTATAATTCGTAGGCCTAACTTAGCGCTCGACTCGAGTAAATAACGCGACCATACCTACTATAGCTATAAGGGCTGACTTTGTTACATAAAGAAAAACATTAGTTAATTAATAACACCAGATCTAGATCTAACCACAGAATATCTAGGCCTAGCTTACATTTCGACTCGACTACACAACACGATCATAACCATATTAATACTAGAAATATACGACCTTATAACATCAAAATATTTTTATTTAATTAGACACTCAACGTTTCGCTTTACAGCTTCTTCAGTAGCATTCGCTAAATCACAAACCAAAACAGCTGAATATGTTGTGAAAAGAATATCGCTCAAGTTTAATCATTTTTAGAAGGTGCACTTTCTTTACTAAGTGGTGGCTTTGGGTAAGACGCCCCCAGAGAGGCCGTCTCCCTTCACACCAATGAGGTATATTTCCGCTACAGATTACGGCCGCAATTACATGTTATCTTCACACTACCACCCACATTCATTGGGGCCATTGCCCTAAATAATAAGCGATTTGCGCATGAAGCACGGGCTTCCCGATCCCTTCCAATAGTATTTAAATGATGACTTAATTGCAGTATTTATTTTAAAACGCAGTTAGATGGGTTTCATGTTACCATCTTGGGGGCCGTTTTATCCAACCTTATGGATAAAACGGCCTCCAAGCACGAGTAGGGCATTTTTGTCAACATCTAAAAACGGCCTATGCCCAATCTTATTTTTTTAAACTAGAAATGATATTTATAATAAAACAAAGCTCAATTTAAAATAGTTTGCCTTTTCATGAGGTTCATCTTAATAGGTGAAAACCGCATTCACGGTGGTCTTTTTACTCCTACCTTCCCCTACACAACAACGACAAAAAAAAATCTCATTGGTGATGGCAAATGTGTTGTTACATGTGTGTATATTTATTTATTTTGATTATTTTTGAATATTCTTCGTCTATCAAAGATCTAAATCTAACTCTGTGTTATAAGGAAATGAAAATAAATGGATAAATACACTAACAAACAAACAGTATATAAATATATAAATGTCAGGCCTAATCTTTTACTTTTTATATCCATTTTCTTCCCACTATCTCCTGTTCTAAACATTTCTATTTTATAAAAGCTTCTTCCTGTTCAGCAAGGGACAGGTCAAGCTTTATGCGACTTACAACGTGGCGGCGCGGTAGCTTCACGTTTGTGTACCCTTCAGTTCGTTTGTAGTTTATGCACAAAGCTACACAGTGGGCTATCTGTGCTCTGCCCACCACTGTGCCACTGGGGAGCATACCCTTCAGTGATCCAGTTAAGTATAGATATCTCTGGCGAAAAAAGTCAGACGGAACTGTGAACAGATCAAATTAAAAAACTGAGCATTACTAGATGACGGTGAAAAATGGTCCCTTAGGCTTTTTTCTTCTCGATGTAGCAAAGGTCAAATCTAAGCACCAAAAAATATTACCGAACAGAATAACCTAGTTCTTTGAATCAACAGTGACGATACAACTTTGAATGTTTACCCAACTAGTGATACGATTTTATAATAAAAACAATTCAGTCAACAATCAATGGAAACACAAAATAATTAACCAATAATAAATAGAAACACAAAATAATTAAACAATAATCAATTGAAACAGTAATAATTAATCAACAATCAGTGAAAACAAAACACTTAAGCAACAATTTGTGAAAACACAAAATAACTTATCAACAGTCATTGGAAACAATAATAATTAATCAACAATCAGTGAAAACACAAAATAATTTATGAACAATCAGTGAAAACACAAAATAGATAGCCATTAACGAAATGAAATGCTAGATAATTAGTCAGGAATGATTGGAAATGATAATAAGTGCGTAGTCTAACATTTAGAGGTGACGTGATGACAATCTGTTAACCGTTATATCGAAATAAGTGACGATTTTTTATAGATTTTAAATATAGTAATTAACCAGTACAGAATGATATATTTCTCTTTTTAACTAACCTCAGAAATGGTAAGAAAAGTTGAATCTGACTTTAGTGTTAAAAAAGCTACTGGTCTCGACCCAGACTAAAACCTCTGATTTTTTTTTATTCCTGTAAACTCCCAGTGGAGCATAGGG